CTATGTATGCCCTAGAGCACAGTGAAATTGGCCCAAAATTGTGCAGCAGCAAGTTAAGCCCTGCTTGGGATTCCAGCATTCCATATCAGAGAACTGGTTTAAGCCCCAGCTCCCTGCTAATGTGCCTGAGAACGCAGTGAAATTTAGGGAGTGAACCACCAGATGGAAGATCTCTTTCTCCTTCTGTCTCTCCCTTTCTCTGTCACTCTGACTCCCAAGTAAAAATAAATAAATAAATAATGAATATTTTTAAGAAAGCAAGCAAGCCAAACTGGGTGATCTTGAGCTGCTTGTACTTCCTCACCTCTTGTGTCCTATTTTTAGGGAATTTGTGAGCCTAAACGTCTTCCTTCATGACAGTCTTTGCCTTGTTTGTGCATCTTTCCACAATTAACTGAACACCACCTACCTTTTCAACAACTTCTACTTGTAATTGTGGTGCCTTAACTTGTAGCACATTTTAATAGTTAACTCATTTTATATTATTATCATTCTGGAAAGGATCACATAAAGAACTTTCCAAAGCTGATCCAGGCTATCATTTAATTTTTAAATTTTGCAGTGGAAACTTTTGTCTAATACAATGCCTGTCTCCAAATTGGTATAACACTATAGGACTTTTGTAAAATGTTCAAATGATAGACCACAGAATTGTCATGTAAACATGGCTATAAGTGGACATGAGATTTCTGTTTCTGAGAAAACAGAGTCCACTTACTTATCCCTATTTCTCCCAAGGTGTGCAAGTAGAAGCCCTGAATACTACAAATAAAACAAACAGAAGACTCTGACAGGTGGAGAGAAAAGGGCAGACTGATTATAAACCACAGAGCTTGAGGCATGATACAGTGGTTAAGGTCCTGGATTTTCTCCTTGCTGCATATGTTCCAAACTTAATAAAATGAAAAACTGGAAGTGCCAATGGGCACAAGCAGACACACAATTTCCCCAACATCTCAGGAAAAGGATAGCCTGGTAAGACTAAATATTTGTGTAAGAGGGTGGAAACTTAATCTTATTATATAATAACCACTCCAGCTAATCATCACAAAATCTATTGTCTCTCAACTCTACCAGTAAAGGCCAAGTGGGGAGCCTACATTTCCAAATTTGTCATGTTGTAACAAAGATCACAAACACCCCTTCCCAGATGGCACCTGAAAAGGAAAGTAGAGAGAGCCAGCTGTCATCTCATTAGCTGGCAACAACCACACCCACATTGTTGGTGGAGACAACATGGAAAACCTGAACTTGCATTGACACTTGCCAGCAAAGAAGTGTCCTCCTCCTCGCTAGAGTTGTACCAGAGGAAGCTCACTGGACAGCCAAACCTCACCATCAGTGATGATGGAGCGATTATCACAAGGGTCAGTAGAGGACACAGAGGGAGCTAAAACTCCCACCTCTGTCCAGCAGTAACAAGGCATCTCCACTCAGAGGTGTTGTTATAGGCTCAGCAGAGAACTTGGCCTGCTGCCTCCACCTGGCAATAATGAGGTGATGCTGCCATTTCCCATGCCAGGGTGTGTGAGTAACAAAGAGGAGTGGGATGAGAAGAGGGAAGGGGAGGAGGAGGAGGAGATGGAGAAATTGCCAGGTGAAATAGAAAGCTTGAGTCTATAGCATAATATAAATCTCCAGGTTTCAATCTGAAAATCAATTATTCCAAGGACAACACAGAAGATCTTAGACTGAATGAAAAAGGATTATTACTAGATGTCAATCAATACCAAGATGTTCAGAATGTTAGAATTATCTGATAAAGATTTTAAGGTAGGTGAACGTAAGAATTTTCTGAGTGAAAATGAAAATATAACACATCATATTTGAGCGACACAGCTAAAGCAGTGCAATGAGGGAAGCTTATAGCAGTAAATGCATAACAAAAAAAAGTGCCAAATCAATAATACAAGCTCCCACTTCAAGAAACTAGAAAAAAAGAGAAAAATAGAAAACTTTCCAGTTGCAAAGACAGTATAAACAATAATAAAAGTAGAATAAAATTCCTTGGTTGCTATGATCTGAATTTTATTTTTGGTGTACCCCAAAGCCCCAGGTTTTAAAGGCTTGTTTCCCAAAGTCTTGTGATAATGGTACTAAAAAGGGTGGAAACTTAATCTGATTATGTTGGTTAGACATGAGACCTTTGGGAAATTATTAGATTGAATTAGGTTATTAAAGTGAATCCCCCATGACTGAATGTGATTGCTTTATAGGGAGCAACAGAACCACACACTGTCCCTCTTGCCACATGATATTTCTTATCACCTTGGGACTGTGCCAGCAAGAATGCCAGTACCAGATGCCAAACCAGTGAGGCTGCCCAATCTTGTACTGTGAGGCTCCCAAATTATGAGCTAAAGTAAGCCTCCTTCCTTCATGAATAGCTTGTTTAGGTATTTCATTGGAGTTATAAAAAGCTGACTAATACACTAATGAATATTGACTTAAAAAAACCTTTATTTAGAGTATTAGTAAATAGAACTCAACAATATATATATAAAAGCATTATACACCATGACCTAGTGGGTTTGATCAACCTAGTGGGTTTTATCTATAGATGCAAGAATGTTTCAATATTTAAAAATCAATAATAATCAAACATTAACTAGGCTAAAGAAGGAAATAACAAGATCATATGAAGCAGTGCAAAACAGGCATTTGACAAAAGTCAACACCCATTAATGATGAAAAAGTTTCAGAAAAGTAGGAATAGGAGGGAACTTTCTCAGCTTGATGAAAAACATCTACCAAAATACCCTTATATCTCACATACTAAACAGTCAAAGAATGAATGTTTTTCCTTAAGATTAGGAACAAGGTAGGCTGTCTAATTTTACCATTCATATGCAATAAATTAAAATTAAAAATTCTGGCTTAAAATTCTTGCAAGTACATAAGGCAAGAAAAGTTACACATATAGGAAAGGAAAAAAAAATAAAATGTCCCTATTTAGAAATTCCAAAGAATCTATTAAAAAATCCTAGAACTAATAAGCAAGTTCATCAAAGTTTTAGGATACATTATAGAAACACAAAAATTGCTTGTACTTCTATATAATAACAATGAACACCTACACAACAAAATTAAAACCACAATACTACCTTTATAATCACTCAAAAAATGAAATGTTGAAGCGAAAGTCTAAGAAAATACACAATTTCTTTTAACAAAATTTCTTGTAGACTTAAGTAATAAAAGATTAATTAAAGAAATAAAAGCATTTCTAAATAAGTGGAGAATGCATACTGTGTTTGCAGATTGGAAGATTCAACATAGCAAGGATGTCAATTTTCCCCAAATTTGTATCTGAGTTTAATGCAATTCCTATCAAGATCGTGGTGAAACTTTTTGTGGCCATAGACAGATTATTCTAAAATGTACACAGAAGATCAAAGAAATTAGAAAGCTGAAATAGCTTTGAAAAAGAAATAGCATGAGAGGAATTAGTCTACCTGATTCCAGACTTGTTATCTTACAGCAACAATAACCAGTTCTATGTGCTATTGGGGAGGGGACAATTACATAAATCAGTGGAGCAGAACATGGGCCATAGAAATAAACACATAGGTCCAAAAGAAATTCAATGGAAGAAAAGTGTCCTGTTAAACAAATTGTGCTGAACCTGTTGGACACCTATAGTTCCAAAAAACAAACAAACAAAAAAGAACTTCAAGGTATGTCTCACATCTTATACCAAAAATAATTCAAAATAGATAACAAAATTGAATGTAAAATATAAAACTATAAAGTTTTTAGAAAAGAATAGGAGAGGCCGGCGCCGTGGCTTACTAGGCTAATCCTCCACCTTGCGGCGCCGGCACACCGGGTTCTAGTCCCGGTCGGGCGGGGCGCCGGATTCTGCCCCGGTTGCCCCTCTTCCAGGCCAGCTCTCTGCTGTGGCCAGGGAGTGCAGTGGAGGATGGTCCAAGTGCTTGGGCCCTGCAACCCATGGGAGACCAGGAGAAGCACCTGGCTCCTGCCATTGGATCAGCACAGTGCGCCGGCCACAGCGGCCATTGGAGGATGAACCAATGGCAAAAGGAAGACCTTTCTCCCTGTCTCTCTCTCACTGTCCACTCTGCCTGTCAAATAAAAAAAAAAAAAAAGAATAGGAGAAAGTCTCTGAGATCCAGGGGCTGGGTAAAGAATACTTGACACTGAAAGAATGATCGATGAAAGGGAAAAATTCTGATAAACTGATTTGTTCAAAATTTAAAATTTTGGGTTAGCAAAGTTCCTGTTAATAGGATGAGAAGAGAAGAAACAGAATGGAAAGAAATATTTGAAATCATGTATCTTACAAAGGACTATATTCAAAATATGCAAAGAAATTTCAAAATTCACAGTAAAAAAGGCAAAGAATCCAATAAGAGCATAAGATGGACAAAAGTCTTCAAAAGACATTTCACAGAAGATGGGATACAGATGGCAGACAAAACTGTTAAAAAGTGACTCAACATTATTAGCTGTTAGGTTAAAAAGAAACACAATGAAGTAACACTGAACACCTATTAGACTAAAAAGGAACCACTGACACACATACATACTTAAAGGAATGGCCACAGCTTTGTGCTAAGTGAAAAAATGAAGCCGATGCCAACATGTTACTTGTTATATGACTTCCTTTTACAGCATTTTCAAAAGGGAAAACTATAAAAATGGAGAACAAACTAGTGGTTGCTAGGGTTCCAGGAGGGCATGGGGTAGAAAGAAAGTGAGGGTGGCTGCAAAAGGGCAAGATGGGGGATCCTTGTGGCTATGAAACTGCTCTGCATCTCGACTGTGTCAATGTCACTGATTGTGACTTTGTACAATGTTGTACTCTACTGTGGTGGTAAGATGTTACCATTGGAGGAAACTGAGTCCAATGAGTCTCTGCATTATCTCTTAACAACTATCTGTGAGTATACAGGTATAAACAAAAGGTTTAATTTTAAAAGGATTTTAAAATGAGGCGAGAATCAGACATTTACCAAGCAACCACAAATGTGACAAAATTGAAGGGCTTCTGCCACACACTCTGGGCAACTGGATTGTTCTTCATGTGGGATCAAATTCTAGAGATTTCAGAAGCATCATTTTTTGATAATTTGGCAGATGGTAATCATTAGTCCCAATGTCTACAAATAAACAAAAAAGTGACAAACAGGACATCTCTGGCAAGGATGAGGAGGGAGCAATAGAAGAGGAGAAAAAAGTGAAACTTCCAAAAACAAAGGAAACCCCAGGGGCAACATTCACATCTATACTAACGCGTCTATAAAGTACAACCAGTTCCCAGATCACGCAAAACTAACTGATTCTCATCTTTTTGTGAATTAAAAATGTTTTCCTGAGAGAAATAAGGATGGAAACTAATTCCTCGGTTGATAAGCACTCTTTCTCCAATATATAGATTACTTAGCTCAATATGAGTTCTCTGGAATGAGATCCCATCTGAACCCTCTGAGAGTTAACTTGACTGCAATGTCATCTGATTTTCTCAGAGGCAACTTATTTTACAGTTATAAACATAGAAACCAAACTTTGCTGATAGTTGGGAATCCTACCTCTTTCCCATCTTTTTTGGGCAGAGCTAACCACCTGGAACAAAGTAGTGCTATCTGTAGCACAATGGGAAAATCTGTGGCTTTTTCTCCAGTTACTGCTGCTGTCTCTCTGTATTTCACATTATTATTTTTTTTTTAGTTTTATTTGACAGATAGTTAGACAGTGAGAGAAAGAGACAGAGAGAAAGGTCTTCCTTCCTTCCTTCCTTCCCATATGGCCGCTACAACTGGAGCTACGCTGATCCGAAGCCAGGAGCCAGGTGCTTCCTCCTGGTCTCCCATGCGGGTGCAGGGACCCAAGCACTTGGGCCACAGCAGAGAGCTGGACTGGAAGAGGAACTACCGGAACTAGAAGCTGGCGCCCATATGGGATGCCGGTGCTGCAGGCATATGATTAACCAAGTGAGCCATGGCGCCAGCCCCTATTTCACATTATTCAATATCCATTTCACTGATATATCACTGGAGTTCTAATATAATAGTAATAGCTAATTCTCACTGAGTACTCACTATGCATCAGACACATTCCAGGCACTATAAACAGAGAGAGAGAGAGAAAGAGTTGGAGACAGAGAGCCCCCATCCATTTGTTCACCCCCCAAAATGTCCTAACCCTGTGATTAGGTTGGGCTGAAGCTGGAAGCCAGAGACTCAATCTAGGTTTTCCACATGCATGGCAGGAACTCAAGTACATGAGCTATCACTGCTGCCTCTCAGGGTCTGCATTAGGAGGAACGTGGAGTCAGGAGCCAGAGATGGGTGTTGAACCCATTCATTTTGATAAGAGATGTAGGCATTTTAACCAGCATCTCAACCACTAAACTAAACATTCATCCATAAGCACTTTATGTATAAAATATTTATATATTTATTAACTCCTTATTTAGTCCCATTTAGTATTCATTAACACTGAACATTTGTTAACTGTTGATAAATTAGCATTTATTAACTGCCTAACAACCTTAAGGATTAGATTGTTTTAATTTTACAGATGAATTACAGAAAGGGAAATTAATTTAACCTATGTGACACCTGTGCTACTAAACAGAGAGTCCTGGAAACAAATACAAGGGGTTTTTATATTGGAGCTTATGCTGTGAGCACCGTTAACCACTGTGTTTTTTTTGCCTTTCATTAAATGGTATTAGATTATGACGTCTGTGACAGTACTCTGAAACCTGTGATACAATTGTGAACTGAAAATGATCACTTGGACTAGTGAGATGGCATTGGTACATGCCACCTTGATGAGATTGTATTGGGATCCCCTGGCATGATTCTAACTCCACCATTTGGGGCAAGCCTGATTGAGCATGTCCCAAATTGTACATCTCCTCCCTCTCTTATTCCCACTCTTATATTTAACAGGGATCATTTTTCAGTTAAAATTTAAACACTTAAGAATAATTGTGTGTTAATCACAGAGTTCAACCAATAGTACTAGAACAAAACAAAGAGAAAATACTAAAATGGATAAAGTATTACATTGTACATCAATAGTCAGGACAAGGGCTGATCAAGTCACTGTTTCTCATAGTGTCCATTTCATTTCAACAAGTTTCCCCTTTGGTGCTCAGTTAGTTGTCGCTGATCAGGGAGAACATATGATATTTGTCCCTTTGGACAAATGACCATATTTCGTTGTTTTTGACTGCTGTATAGTATTCTATAGAGTACATGTCCCATAATTTCCTTATCCAGTCTACTGTTGATGGGCATTTGGGTTGGTTCCAGGTCTTAGCTATTGTGAATTGAGCTGCAATAAACATTAATGTGCAGACAGCTTGTTTGTTTGCCAATTTCATTTCCTTTGGGTAAATTCCAAGGAGTGGTATGGTTGGGTTGAATGGCAGGGTTATATTCAGGTTTCTGAGGAATCTCCAGACTGACTTCCATAGTGGCTTAACCAGTTTGCATTCCCACCAACAGTGGGTTAGTGTCCCTTTTTCCCAACATCCTCACCAGCATCTGTTGTTGGTAGATTTCTGAATGTGAACTATTCTAACCGGGGTGAGGTGAAACCTCATTGTGGTTTTGATTTGCATTTCCCTGATTGCTAGTGATCTTGAACATTTTTTCATGTGTCTGTTGGCCATTTGGATCTCCTCTTTTGAAAAATGTCTATTGAGGTCCTTGGCCCATCTCTTAAGTGGGTTGTTTGTTTTGATGTTGTGGAGTTTCTTGATTTCTTTGTAGATTCTGATTATCAACCCTTTATCTGTTGCATAGTTTGCGAATATTTTTCCCATTCTAGTCCAAGTGATCAATTTCAGTTCACAATTGATCACACTGATAGGTCCAAGAGTCAAAGGAATCACACAAACAAGTCTAGTGTCTACTAATACTAGCTGATAGAATCAAAAAGGGAGAGAACAATCCATCATGGGAAGTGGGATACACAGTAAACTCATAGAATGGCGGATGTCCTAAATAGCACTCTGGCCTCAGAATCAGCCCTTAAGGCATTCAGATCTGGCTGAAGAGCCCATGAGAGTATTTTAGGCATGGATAGCCAAGACACCCTGGGGGAAAAAAAAAAAAAGGAAGACCTAAATGGAAGATCTCTGTGAGTGAGATCCCAGTGGAAAGAATGGGGCCATCAAAGAAGGAGGTACCTTTCTCTGAAGGGAGAGAGAACTTCCACTTTGACTATGACTATGACCCTGTCAGAATAAGATTGAAGTTGGTGAACTCAAAAGGCTTCCATAGCCTTGGAAACTCATGACTAGAGCCTAGGGAGATTTCTGACACCATAAACAAGAGTGTCAAATTGTTAAGTCAACAACAGGAGTCACTGTGTACTTACTTCTCATGTGGGATCTGTCCTTAGTTTGTTGTTCAATGTGAAGTAATGCTAGTTCTGAAAGAGTATTTTACACTTTGTGTTTCTGTGTGGGTGCAAACTGATGAAATCTTTACTTAATATATACTGAACTGATCTTCTGTATATAAAGATAATTGAAAATGAATCTTGATGTGAATGGAATGGGAGAGGGAGCGGGAGATGGGAGGGGTGTGAGTGGGAGGGAAATTATGGGGGTGGGGAGCCATTGTAATCCATTAACTGTACTTTGAAAATTTATATTTATAAATAAAAAATTAAAAAAGAAACGTGTGATACAAATATAGAGACAGAGGCTAACTAGTTGTGTCTTGCATTTTGATGCAGCCAACCACCTGAATTTTGGCTAATGATAAGTCTGCATAAGTGGCACACATCACCTCCAGGCCTAACCCATGAAATCTTCGCACCATCAACTTTTGCTTTCCTATTCTTTGGTGGAATGGTAAGGAGTTCAGGACCTAGAGGAGGCAGAGCTGCAAACTGGAGAGAGGCTTTGTTCTTGCCCGCTGATGGGAAGAACGACCGAACCAGCAACAGCCATGTGGGACTGTTGCTTCAGTAGGAAAGAAACGTTGACATTCTGGGGCTCTTTAAATTTGGCATTGTTTATTGTTAGCCAAACTTGAGTAAACACAGGGTGTTAGGAGCAGTGCTATTATCTGAGTTCTCTTCTGTCTTTTGCTTTTTTTCTTTTCATATATCAAACAAAGTTCTAAATTTTCCAAGATTTTGTTTTCAGCCTTCTAGTCTTTATTCACTTTACTCACCCATCTACTAATCAATTTCATGCGTCAGTGATCTGTTCCAAGTGAGTAAATCCAAGAGTTCCCCCATCCCTCTCTCTTTGCAGGGATAATGCTTCCCTCCGTCATTTGGTTGCCTGTGTCTAGGTGGCCTCTTCCTCATTCTTTAGATGAGTAGTGGCCAAAACCTACTTTGTCTTCTCCACTGATCTGGTTGCCACTATATGCCCAGACTGGGAACAAAGCATTGTGTTTCTGTTTGACTCTTCTGTCCCCTATCCTACTTCTCACAGTTCAATCAATTATTCCAATATTCTCCCTCTTTAGCTCCTGTCTTTTCACTTAAAGATTTATTTATTTGAAAGGTAGAAAGATGGAAAGAGGGAGGGAGAGAGGGAGGGAAAGAGAGGGGTGGGGAGAAGAGAGACAGAGAGAGAGAGAGATTCTTTCATCCTCTGGTCCACTCCCCAAATGCCACACTCCATTTGTGTCTCCCACATGAGTGGCAGGTAAGACTTAGATCACTAAGGTACACTATCAGGAAGCTGGGTCAGAAGCACGGAATAGCCAGGACTCAACTTGGCACTCTGATATGGCATATGAGTGGTAGCTTAACCTGCTGAACCATGATGCCCACCCCATCCTCTGTTTTCCGTTCTGTTTTCCATGCTTGCTGCAGTGCTCTTTTTCTGAATTGTGCATCCTCTCCCAAACTTTGTATCCCTATTTTCTTTTTTTTTTTTTTTTTTTGACAGGCAGAGTGGATAGTGAGAGAGAGAGACAGAGAGAAAGGTCTTCCTTTGCTGTTGGTTCACCCTCCAATGGCTACAGCGGCCAGCGCGCTGCAGCCGGCTCACCGCGCTGATCTGAAGCCAGGAGCCAGGTGCTTCTCCTGCTCTCCCATGGGGTGTAGGGCCCAAGCACTTGGGCCACCCTCCACTGCACTCCCTGGCCACAGCAGAGAGCTGGCCTGGAAGAGAGGCAACC